TGGGTGCATTGAACCTTCAAGGTTCTTTTTATATTACATTTGTTACCACAATTTATTTGTGATGTTCACTGTGAACAGTAAAATGTTCAGCTAGATCTAAAAAGTCTTGTAAATTGGTTAATCTGATTTGTTTTAGCCATTAACCTAAAACACTAGAACTGACCTGAATTGAATGCCTGTGCTTCATAGATACAGTTTAACGTTTTAAGCTTGAGGAACCTATTTAATTTCGATTGTCAATGAGAGATGCAATCACATTTTACCGGTTAGAATTTTATCAAGGCAGAGTAAAAAGGAGAGATAAGCTCTCCTCTAAGCACATGTAAGAAAATCAGCCTCAACCTAATTTACTATGCCAGCATTTAAGGGCCTCTTCTACTGCGACAGGCGTGCTCAAGGCACAAAAGACTATGATGAGTCACATAAAGTGACCCCAGAGTGACCTCTTCTCTCTCTCTCTCTCTCTCTCTCTCTCTCTCCCACTTCTGATTTGGACTCTCTGGAAAGTCCAATCCGAGACAGTTCTTTTGTTTGTTGTTTAAAAAGTCGCAAAGCGTAATTCTGTGCTGTTGTCCACCCAGCACACATATATATAGTATATATGTATGCATATATATATGTTTCCTTTAGTTGAGATCTTTCAGAAGCTTCTCTTGATATTAACATTATTCTGCAACAGTTCTTACAACAAAATAATATGTTTTTGAGGCAAAGTTGATATTTACTCAAGACAGTCTTCTTTGTCGCTCAACTTCATGCTTAAACCTTTAACATCCCATTAATAAATTCTAAGCAGATTCATATTTTGGACATTGAAATCCTTAAATAGCACCTTTGAAAAGCAAGAACTGTTTATTTTCAGAAAGCATCTGAGAAGTCACTCGTACAGGCCAATTTGGCTTGAGCTTACTGCAATGATTAAGCAAAAACAAGAAAAGCAACCAAATTATTTTGCCGCTTCACTTACACAAACAATACTGTGCTTTGGAATGGGTTGCTGACATTTTTTTCTTTTTCATTTAACAGCACCATTCTGTTTTTTTCTGGACTTTCCCTCTCACACAACAGACCATTTATGTTTACAGGATAAAAGAATCTGTGTGTGAAATTCAGAGTATCTTTCTAATACATTTGTGCAATATTTACCTACCCTTTGAAGAAACCACAGCTGCTAAATTAAGAATTCCAGCGTTTCATAAGAAAACAGTCAGTCTTCCCAGGCCTCTCTTGTTCGCTCACAGGGTCACTGTGTCACTGCAGTAGACTCAGTCTCTGAAAATGAATTGTTTTGACTGCTTGGCTGAATGGGATGTGTAAATTCCTCAGTGAAAGAATGAACTTGGTCGACCCTTCGCAGACCCGCTCAACCCAGCAAATAAGTGCATGAGACACGATGTGTATCGTGGCTGGTTTGGCCCAAACTCAGTTAATTAAGTAATCAGAGCCTCAGGGGTTGAGTTTGCAAGCAGGGGAGCCATCTGTCTATTATATTACTCCAAATGTCACTGACACAGGACACAGAACACAAGATTACTTTCAGAATGAAGTTAAAAACTTAAAGGAAGGATGACTCGAAACCATAAAGTGCTGAATTAATTAAGAAGACACTCTTTTTTACTTGTGTGGTTTACTTGCATCTGTAATAAGAAACCTTGATGTTAGCCTGGATAATAAGACAGTGTTGTCAACTGCAGCAAGCCTCATATGCCTTTGAGTTGCACTGCTTTTTATAAAGATGGCTGATATTTGTTTGAATGAACAAAATGCTCCATCAAACTGAGAGTACTGTATTTTACCCCTTAAATGTCTAGGGCAAACATTTATTACACACTTTTGTGACTTACAACTCAGCAAGTCTGCATTGTTTTCCATGTAATTACTGTAATTGCTTAATGATACTGTACAATGCCTAGGAACCTCCTCTACATATAAAGATACTCAAGATACCAAAAAACAGTAGTCAGTATTTTAATTTATGCTATCATTGTAATATCCTCAGGGGCACTTGGCTTATTTGAAAGGAAACTTCTTCAAGGATTCAATGAATAAATCTTACAACATGGATTTTAAGAAAAAAGCTAATCCACACATGTGACTAGAAAGACTTCAAACCCCAGGGTGCTGTATTTGCCTGCTGCCTCAGACTAATACTCAGAGCAGGCTGCTAATGCACATGTTGTCCCCTACAACCATCTTTAAAAATGCAACTGACTGATATGCTGTAATGATTCAGCCAACTGAAACACGTTTCTAGGACTGCAGCACAGTATCCACTTTTTCAAAGCCAAAAGGTTCTTTGTTTACTTCTGCCTCAGCTGCTCCGCCCACAGAGGTATGGACTGTCTGATACCTTTTGGGTGCTAAGCCAGCCTCAGGTACCAGTATTTTGTCAGTTCCATTGTCACTCTTATTTATTTTCAGTTCCACTGAAACAAAGTCAGCCAGCCATGACTGAGCCTTTCAGTCAAGATACAGTAACTTGATTGCAAGTTTGTGAATTTCCTCGGCATCACATTTAACTGTATTCAAGAGTTTGAAGCAGTTCGTAGCTCAACGGAAACACATTATTAGGAAGAGTTTCTGAGCTAGCTAAGCATTTTGCTCAACAATTGGTGGGGTTGGATGGGGGGTCGGGGGGTTGCATGATATTATTGTTCTTCATGTCTTCCAATTATCTTCACTCTCATATAGTTATGAGGGAAAAAACAAAAACAATCATACATACAGAGCAGGTTGCTGATTGTAAATCTGCATTCTTACTCAGAAAGAGTTTGTACAGGCTTTTCTTCACACTTGGTGTGACTGCACCTATTTACATGCAACTGTACTGTCTTTGTTTGTACATGTAAGTGGAGTTGTGCAATTTAGTGCCAATGACAAGAAGTGTATAAGCTTGAAGTGAATAAAAAAGGATAATGTGTCAGAACCTCAGATGAACATTAAGTACAGCATTATCTTATTGCATCGCACCGTTGTCTTCTGAGTCCTTAAATCTAGCTTCCACATACATTTCAAAACCGTATCTTGTGTCTCAAGGGCCAAATTTAGCATGAATGGGGGATTACTGGAAATTCCAATGTAAATCGAAAGAGACACAAAGAGACTCGGAGGGAGGCCGTTTGAGACTGAGAGTGAGAAGTTAAACCAATTAGGAAGGAGCAGAAATTAGAGCGCCAGGAGATTTGCTGCCGTTTCGCTCTCAAACATTATTAGAAGTGAGGCATCTTCTCAATTAGTGGGGCATATAGGGGTGGAGCTGTTGGAAGAATTTTGCTGTTTTTGAATCTCTGTACTTTCACTGATCAGAGTATGGTTGCAGGCTCTTGGTCAGTGGCCTTAAGTGCACTTACATATGATATAAAGAACAGGAAAGAATAGGAAGTAATATCTTTTCAAATAATTTACTTTAAAATCATTTCTAAGGTCTGCCCTTTACAAAATAGAAATGTAGTAATACTATAAAAAAGTATGTTTTCTATAGTGCTGTATAATAATCTATTATTATTTTTTACCTTCATATAATGTTCACATAGTACTGTCTTACAGTAATCCATGATGCTTGTGTAGGATCCTGTAGTAAATGATAGTCATTTACTAAATTTACTGTAAGATTCTTATAGGAATGCTACAGATGTATACTGTAGTTCTTTTTCATTAGAGTCTACTGGAAATTAGATGGTTGAGTTGCATTTATATTATAGCTCATGGCTCAGCCTTCACTTTGGCTTAATTCCATCTTCAGCTTATTGGAATTTATGCTGAAATTCAGTTGACACACAGACCAGTTTAGTCTGTTCTTTGCTGATTGACACTCCCCATTAACTACATATGTCTTGTTTCAAGATAAGCAGCAATGGTTGTATCACAAGTAATGAGGTGTTATATTTCTCTCTGTAGGCTCCTTTGCATTAGAATAGCTGTCCTTGGCTGTAGTACAAAGCTCTGATTAAAAGGAGAGGATAGATTGATGTTAGCCTGCAATGGCTTCTCCTGAGACTAAGCAGTAAAATGTGACCTGGGTAAATTATAAATTGGGCCACGAGGGGTTTCTGACTCATTGGTACTTGGTCCTGTCTACACACACAGATATGTCTCATGTGGACATTGATCTTTCATTTACCTTCATCACAGTGGCCTGTATGCACAGAAACTGGAATAACACGGTGGTAATTGTCAGCCTGAGAAATAAGCCAAAGAAATAAGCATATTCTCATTAAGATGTACTAAGGTTTATGTATATCATTTGTAACTCTTGAATTTCAATACTTAAGTTATTCAGTGCTTGAAATTAATGTTAGTTTCCAGCAACGGCAAATCTTGACTATTAGAGGAAGGCCTTTAGTTTTAGCCATAAATTTTAAAACTCACTCAACAAACAAGAAAAAAACCTCCGTAATTATTCTAATCCAGTTAGATTGTTTGGAGATAAATATGACGTCTTGTTTTGACACTCCACATTTTATTTAAAGCTTGTAACTTACACTTACAAATATTATCCCCTTAAAGGCAAAGAACCCAAAGAGCCGGTGCTGCTTTCTATTTCTAACAAGTGACTGAAACAGTCAGTGACTTCCAAAAGGCCTAGAGTGGTGTTTTATCACGAAAGTAGTCCCACACTTTGTAAATCAAAGCGTGATTGGTTGATTCCACTGTCACTTTTTAATTATGATTAATCTAATGTGTAAGACCTTCAAGCCTTAACTGGACAATTTCTCATTGGGCAGGATTTTCACCCAAAATTTAACAATGAAATAAGAGTAGGGCTGCAATACTTGGAGAGTTTAAATACCACCCTGATGATTCTATTAAATAAAAATGAACTAAAAAGTACAGACATGTATTATTTTAGTTCCCAGAATTCATTAGGCCTTCTCTGAAAGTCTAGGACGCCCTGAGGTTTCCCCGTTGCTTTCCACAGACTGGTGATTAGATGCACTGTGTAAACACAATATTTGATACTTAATCTAATATGTTCATTTCTTGTCTTTTGTTTCTTTCAGATGTACCTGTAACAAAGAAGACACACACATGTGAGTATATGCCTTATACACAGTCAATATGTTTAACCCTTTGTAGTTGGATTTAGAATGTAAGTGGAGTGCAAATGTGATACCTTTTATAACTCAGTGTTATAAAATAGATTTTATATATATATATATATATATATATATATATGTATATATATATATATATACACATAACTTTTTGACTTCTAGTGATTAAATGTTTTTGTCATGATTGAATGTTAAGGCCTTAGCTAGAGTTTAATCCAAAGCTTTAGTTGAAGCTGATCGTGCTTTTAAAGCTTGTGTGACAGTGCTATATTTTCCTTCAACTGAATCTCTCTGAAACTGTCAGATACAGGGCTTTGATCTGAACGGATGTACTGATTAGTATCAGAGGAAAAGTGACTATGTAGTGAAAGGATGTTATCTTCCTCATCCAACTGCTGAATTTAGGGGAACTCAGAGTGTCTCTTCTTTTGTTTCCTCTCTCAATGCTTATCGATAAGCAGAAGATGTTGAGAGACCTTAGTAGAACACATACAATTGTCACTCTTATTTACACAAGCACAAAGCTGATTTAGACCTCATGACAAACATGAAATCATAATGTATCAGAATAGAGGATTTTAATAGAAAAATTTATGTGTTGATTTGAATTGCTTTTAAGCAAAATGGCTTTTAAAAGTAATTGACTTTTTTTACTTTACGCGCAATAGCATGTTCATGGTTAACCACAAAAGGCTAAAACATCCTGTTTGTGCACAGAACAGCCTGAAATCCCCTTGCTTAGTGGAGAAGACCCTAATATGTTTTATTCCATCATGTATTACATTCTTAAAGAACATGTTCAAATTGTTTTTTGGATGTTCGGGTGTTTTATACAAAAACTTTAAACAATATAGAATGTGTACATTATATGAAGGTTCTTTAAACTTTAAAAAATATTCTCAAACCATGCTTGCCCAAAGTGTAGCCTGCAGGTCAAGTTGGCCCAAGAGGACGTTTGATTTGGCCTGCCAGAAAATCTCCCTAACCCTCACCCAGGGATAGAATAAACATTTTTTATACTATATATAATTATAACAACAGAAATCGATTGTAATGCTGTAAAAAACATATTTCTCAAAACTTGATTTGAAATGTAACATCCGTTTGTTTGTTTTTTCTGGCCCTCAGCCCTACGCAAACACTGCACTTTTGCCCTCCAAGAGAAAAAGTGTGCGCACCCCAGTTCAATACAAATATAAACCGATTCTTTAAAGAAGCCACAATTGAAATGTTCGTTAGAAGCAAAGAACCAAAAGTGGTTCTTCCAAGGCATTACACCAAAAACCGTTGAGCGATGCCATAGAAGAACCACTTTTGGTTCCCTAAAGAACCATATTTGAAAAAGAGAACTGTGAGTGTAAACATTTTTTTCTGATCACCTTCAGATGTAAGAGTTCTATACCAATTTAGGAGATCTTTCCAGAACCTAAAGATCTAGAACTTTAGGTGGCGTTCTTTAAACAGGTTCACACTTAAGCATCTCATTTACAAACTCAACTTGAATTCTTTTTCTATTTTTTTAGAAAACGGTGATTTTTATGATGAATGGACCAAAAGGGTCTTATTATATTAATTAACATAAAACAGATTTCTTTCTCCTAAATAAAATCAAATAAAGTTACTAAATTAAATAAAGTTACTTGTTGACGACATGAGGTTTTGTGATGAAACTGACGACAAGCATTATGTATTCATCATGTACAAATTGAGAGTCATAGCGGGAATTTCCCTTTCTTGGGTATGTGGGTGTGTGTGTGTGGACAGTATGTTTTGCTGTTTGTGTTGGAGACGCTGGACAAATAACAGCAGCTGTGAGTCTGTAAGGCATGTCTGGTCTGGTCAAGCCAAATCCTGCCCAGTGAGAGAGTTCATGTTCAGGACTAAAGCTGAATGCTATACACCCCACCGACACCCCCTCCACCCCCTCCAATCAGCATTCATATATCGTGCTCTGGAATCAGACCCTGTCCCTCGTACTGTAGGAATGTGTATGGAGCAGAAGTCAGCCGCTCTGATCTTAAATCAGACACTCTCCTCCTCCAGCAGGCTCTGAAACATGAGGCCCTGCAGAAACAGCTCTGGCATTTCTGCAACTATTTAACCCTCACTGTGACACACAGACTGAGAGAGCTAGATTGAAATACTGATTTCATAACAAAATCTAGCATGGCAAAATTTATATTTCAGTAAGTGTGTTTTGTGCCAGTAAAAACATTAGCATAAATACAAACTAACATGAATAAGAAAAAGTAAGAATAATTTCTTGTTTTCAGTAAAGTTATTGATATGTTGGTTAGAAGAACACCGTTCAAGAACACAAGTTTGGTTTCGTCGTGTGTTTCATGTGTTCATTTTGTCCACACAGTGTGAGCTTCAGCTGATAAAAATCGGCCAATTTAGAAGAAGAACTGGAATCGTTTATAAATTTCATGTTTGGTTCATCCCTACTGATTAGCCAAACTAGACACTGAATGCTAACTAAACGTACTGGACTTCTTAACTTCTTCAAAGAAAAAAGTTACGCCACTACACTCTGACAGTGTGTGGACATTAAATTACAATATTTTGTTTATTTGTTTATTTGTGTTTATTCCAACATTAGTGTTTTTTGAACAAATAAATACTTACTGCCCAGATAAATGGCTTTACATTCCGTGTTCTCAAATTTCATAGATCACAGGACTGTAAATGGCTTTCTAAACTGCTAATCTTTCAAAAATCAGGACATGTGCAGTGTGATGCATTTGTCCATATTGCATGTGCAGCCTTCAGTGGAGGTTTTAGAGCGTGTGGTGTGACAGATTTTAGATTTAGCTGGGCTCTGGCCAAATCATTAGCATTCAGATGGCTCTGTCCCCTCCGGTGTCTTTGCCCAGCATTCACCTAACCAGGCCCCTCACACACATGGGCAGAATGAGAACGATGCCAGTAGTCCTGTAGGCAAACACATGCAATTTCAAATCACTGCTGTTCACCTAATGGCCTGTCTTAGCTCAGACTACATTATTTAGTAACTGAACTATGGGGCTTATACATTCTATCTCATACATTATTAGTAGCGCTCTTTGTGCCACACAGGCGCGTGCGTACACACACACACACACACACACACACACACACACGCACACACACACACACACATATATATACAGAAAAGAGCTCAACCCACTTGAAGAATGTGTTTACATAACCTGTTTTGACTTAATCACTGATCACTGTAGCTGTCAGTCCTAGTGTTCACTACTTTCCCTGGCTAGCATTTAGGGCCAACCGATATGAAATGTTTGTGAAATTCCGATATCTGATAATATCAGCCAACAATATTTTATGTGATCAAAAAATGAAACACATTCCAGGAGTTTAGTTAAACAATATTTGTATGCCTTATGTGCAAGATTTCTACTGATGCCAATAAATCACAATGTGCAGAACCTTAATATTGGCAAATTTTATCAGCCATACGATGTACCAGTCGGACCTTAATAGAATCGTGCTGTTTTTTTTATGGGCTTTAAGTACAGTGAGAGTGAAGACAATAATGAGTTTACTATGCAGCCATAATGAAGTGTGCTGGAAGTTTCTGCATCACCATAAAGCATACTGTAAGTCAACAACACAGTCACATGGTGTTGGTTATCATTCTGAATTTAAAAGAAAAAAGTGTCAGAAGAATCAGTATTGGCATCAGTACTTTTTTTTATTTCTTTTCCAAAAGACATATAAAAAAGAAAGACGTATGCCAGTTAGGATTTATATGTGCTAATATTGCATGCATACTTGAACCTCAAATCTGCACAGACTGCGATGATATGTTACACCAGCTACACTTATTTTCAAATGTAGGATGTTAGAACAAAAATTCTATAAGTGATGTGAGCTGGAACCCTCCCATACACTCAGCCACGCACTTGCTCAGTTCCTATTGGCTTCCTCTGCTGTCAGTCAGGACTGAGGGATGGGTGTGGGTGGGGTTTAGTGCTGATGTGTCACATGGATTCTCATGCGGTGGAGCAGAGACCAGAGGAGAGCAGTAGACTCCAGTCAGCAGCAGTCACACACACACACACACACACACACACACACACACACTCTACAGCAGGGCAGCTTGCACTGTACCTCATCTATATGGGCACCCAGCTTCAGGATGTACTTTATGATTACAGCCATGAAAGGTAAGAAAAAAAAACTGATGTTTTGCTGCAGAGAGGATTCATGTTGGAGTAACCTATGCTAGGATGTGTGTGTGTGTGTGTGTGTGTGTGTGTGTGTGTGTGTGTGTGAGAGAGAGAGAGAGAGAGAGAGCGTGATGTGTATGTTTGTGCATGCCAGTGCCAGCGTGAATGTGAGATGAATAGATTATGCTGCTGTCTGTGAGCTGCCTTTGTTCAGACAGTTGTTTATTTGTATTTCGTTTTATTTCAGCCACCGCATTGCTTTTATATTACAGGCTAGATTGTTATATGCTGCTCTTGTACCCTTCCTTTCTGGACATGAGAGAGAGAGAGAGAGAGAGAGAGAGAGAGAGAGAGAGAGAGAGAGAGAGAGAGAGAGAGAGAGAGAGAGAGAGAGAGAGAGAAGGGAGTAAAAAAGACAAATGGAAAGAGGAATAGACAGAAAAGAAAGGGGAGAGTAAGAGAAGACAGAAATGGAGAGAGAGGAGAAAGAGAGACAGAAGAGAGAATGGCATAGAGAGAAGAGAGACAGAACAGATAAAGGAAGAGAGATATGAAGATAGATAGAGAAAGGAAGAGAGAGGAGAGGGTAGAATGGAGAGAGAAATTAAAGAATTCCATCATAGAATAAGATGGCACATGATGTGATGAGGGTGGTAAAGAGGTGTGTGTTACCATGGAAGTGTGTGTGTGTGTGTGTGGTAGAAGGTTATCTAAGTGCGGAGTTATGAACGATGGGCCGTCGACTGCTTTTCGGGCTGAAGCGGGCAGCCATGTTGGATGTTTGGAATGATCCGGGAACAT